GTGTCTGATGTCCCCATTGCAGAGGAGCTAATACAGAAACCTTAAAGTGACAGAGGTCAATATGGGAAGGGGATCAGGAACTAGTGAAGAGGTCTGGTAGAGATGAATCAACTTGGGTTGTAACACACTTGTGCATGGAAGCAATGGTAGGAATCGCTCTGTATAGCTATCCTTATCTCAACTAGCAAATCTCTTTGTCTTTTTTATTATTGCTTATGTCTTCTCCTCAATAAAATTGGAGAAAAGGGCAGAACAGGCTCTGCCTGGAAGAGAGGGGATGTGGGGGGAATGGGAGGGACCAGGGGGCAGGGGGGGAGAAATGGCCCAAACAATGTATGCAGATGTGAATAAATGAATAAAAAGTTTTTAGAAAAAAGAAAGAAAAAACCTTGTTAGCCAAATTTGAGCTACAAAAGAGGTTTGGAAATCGTGGTCCTTAGGCTAAGGTTACCTGCAGTCCACTGTTAAATGGTAGCTAGCATCTTAGAACAGAAATCTGCATATTAAACAGGCATTATTTACGAAGTTTAAATCAATTTATTTGTAAAACAAACTTAGATGTATCAGAACATTAGGTATGAGAACTCTGTTAATGGTGCAACATGGTAGATTACACTTGGTGATCCCAATTTTAGTGATTTTTATAGCATGTTAAAACAAAATTCATGATAGTATTACATTAGAAACATTAGGCTTTATAATTTTATAAAACTTGGATCAATAAAACATAATAATAGTAGTTCATTTATTCAGTTATGAATCACAGTTCAAAGCTAGCCCAAGCAAAAATGTTAGGGTGACCCTACTCAAAGTAAAGCTGGGCACAGTGACATATGTCTCTAATCCTAAATATGCAGAAGCCAGAGAGAGGAAGATGACAGTCCAGGGCCAGCCCCAGGCAAAAGTGTGAGACACTATCTGAATAATAAATAAAGGAAAAGGGGAGAAAGGTGGGGCTCAAGTGGTAAAGTGTTTGCCTAGCAAGTGGGAGGCCCTTAGTTCAACCCAGTACTAAAAAAAAACAAAAACAAAAAAAGAATTCTATTAGATTAAAAGTTAGGGAGAAATCACATTGTTTTATTGTTTTCCATTTAGAAAAATTTAAAAACCAGTAGAAAAGTATGTTAGGAATCATCTCAAAATTTCTAAGTGAATTATTACCTAGAATTTAATTTCCTTGAGATTTTAATAACAAAATATCAAGAAGTGCATTTTAGTATTTAAGCTGCATTTACCTCTGCTCTGATTATAACAGTAAAAGCGTTAGTATACCTTAGGCATTACCACAGGACTTCAAAGACCATGTGCTATAGGAATAGCTGGCTATTTACCAACTAAGAATGGACATATTTTGCAATATGACTTAGTTTTCAGAGATTTGCAAACAATGCAGCTGAAAAAGCCTCTTTAAAATATTCATACATATATCTCACATAAAAATCTTCATTTTTATGTAAATGGATAAAGCAAGATTGTCAATTTCTGACTTACAGAGATGTGGCTCATTTGATCTAAAATTACTACAATATAGAATTTTTAGTAACCCTGAAACTAATTTTAGTTACTTTACAACATGTTAAGATTAGTATCATGTTAGACAGCATTTTATTAATACCACCAGGCTTTAAATATTTTATTAAACTTGTATCAATAAAACATAAAAAGTAGCTCATTTAGCTAGTTATAAATCAAATTCCACTCAAAAGACCTTAAAACAAGTGATCAATGAACTTTAATTTTTCCTAATATTTAATTTCTCTGACTAATAAAAAAAATAAATAGCTCAAAACACAAGAAATTATGTTGATATTAAAATATTTTATTCTTTACAGGTAGTTCTTAGGTAAATTTCATTAAAAGGGGATCCAGAGTTTAAGAAAGTCTAGTTCTAAATAGAAAGAGCCAGGTTGTAGCTTAATGTCTGAATTACATATTGATCTTAGAAAATGTTATATATTATCTTTTTGCTATAGCCAAAAATGACATATAAATCTTCCCTAATAAGATTTTTCCACTATAAAAATCCTATAATGATTTAGAACTTTATAATTTTTTTAGATCTTTAGTTACAACAAATATATAATCCACAAACTAGAAATCAAAATCTACTTTTAAAAATATCTGTTATTTCTTCCTACTTACTTTAGACAGTGAATCAGGAAAAGACAAAATAAAAATTGATGTCTTGAGTTTACTCATTTTTATGAAATAGCTTAATAATTATAAATTCTTTAGAAACTTAGTACGTAGCATTATTAGTAGACTTATAAATATTTTTGACTAATGTTCATACATGCTCATATCTATACTTCTGACAGTGTATACCATTTAGATGTAAGCACAGCATACTGCATATGTATTAAAAACATACAATATATTGTAGAAGAAAAGAAAAAAGCAAATACAGAAAGAGCCAGAAACTTCTAAACAAACTAAATCAGTTAATTCACAAGGAAAAAGAAAATAAGCTAAAAAAAAAACTCTTGATATTGCTTTAAGTGAGGCAGGGAGGTGTGATATTGTGAGAGAAAGGTAATGGAGGTGATCTAACCATTATACAATGTAACCTTCTTTGGAATTGTCACAAAGAATCCCTCCTGAAAAAAAATCTCTCCTAATAAAAAATAAAAGTTATCAAAGATATTCTGCCCAGTTACATTCAGGAAAACAGTTGCATCAAATCAGTTTTATTTTGCAGTTGCAAATGCCATGCAATGCCACAAGAATAAAATCATAATCAAAATTTCTCTAGGGAACTCCAAAATAGCTTCTCATACAAACCACAGGAGACATGTTCAAACACACCTGTTTCTCTCAGCCACTTAATGTCTTAACAAACGGGTGCCAAAAGCACAGTAAGTCCAAAATTTCTTGTCTAACTAATGGTTCAAGAGAAGGCCCAAATTCATTTAAAAAATGAACCCAAGTTTGGTGCTGGTGGCCCACAACTGTAATCCTAGTTACTTGGGAAACTGAGATGAAGAACACTGCAGTTGGAGGCTAGCCCAGGCAAAAAAGTTTGTGAGGTCCCATCTTAACCAGTAGCAGCGCACAGTAACGTAGGCATATCATCCAAAACCGTGCAGAAGACTGAGATCAAGAGGATTGTGGTTCCAGGCCAGCTTGACAAAATGTTCAGGAGACCCCCATCTCAATGAATAAAAGCTGACTGTGCCAGTGCACACCTGTCATCTCAGTGATGGCAGGAAATGTAAAATAGGAGAATTGCAGTCCAGGCCAGCCTGGGCAAATGTGAAACCCTGTCTTCATAATAATCAGAGAAAAAAGGCTGAAGATGTGACTCAAGGGTCAGAACACCTGTCTAGAAAACTCCAATATTAGCAATAAAAGAAAAAGGAACCCCAAAGGCTCCCACAAGGTCAAAAATTGGCTAAAAGACAAAGATGACAAGGAAACAAAGGGACAAAAAGGCCTAGTGAGTGCAAATAGCAAGCATTTAGCAGGGAAACAAACTTGACTCCACAGTTTCCAAAACAATCATTTATCTATTTTTTCACATATGACAAAGAACTACTGAAATTGGTAAAAGAGAAAGAAAAACAAAAGTAGATTTTGAAGATGCAGGGGAGATTTATCTTCTCTTCTTTCATCCTGGTCAGAGATATGAGCAAAATTCTGGGAGTATTGTATTCAAAAATGGCATCAGATAATATCCATGTATTGTCCATCAAGTTCTGTATTGAGGTTCTAGGTCCAAATGCATGTAAAATTCATTTGCAATTTTGGCCAAACATTATGGGAGAAAAATATTCAATCTGTCACTACCTTGCCCATAGCCGTGCTATAATTTATAGAAAAAAGTGAAACAAAAGCCAGGAAATATGCTACATATGGTATTATCTGAAGGGAAACTAATTCCTAGGACATTCCCCAACACAGAAGTACTGGAAATAGTTCAGTGCTTCCTTATTACATGGAAACAGAATCTAAGTTTCCATATAATTGAACTAAGATGAAATACATTTTTTCAAACCTTGTCTTGATCAGACTCTTAACAAAAAATTTCAGACTTAACTGTCATTCTGATTGATAATTAAAACATAACTAATTTGAAAAAAACATGTCCATATGGTGACTAAAATGATCAACATTTTGACTTGCAGATATTTGAGTCTGTCTTCATGCACCTCAAATATCACGGTTCTCTTTCAACTGTTAGGAGATAGAGTACTAGATGACAGATACTTACTGAGGAACCAATAACCGTTTCCCTTCAGTTGCTGGAACAGGGTGTATTGTTCCTCCCGTTCTGGTGGTTTTTCTTTTCTGGATGGGATCAGTTCTTGACTCTCGTGGAAACATCCCTGAAGAGTTCCTGATCACACAATGGGATGCTGATTATTATAATAATGAGTGGGCTCAGATCATTTGGTTAGCTAGTGGTGGGTGGGTAAGTTTTCAGTTACACAACTTCTAGGGAAAGAAGAAGTAGCTCTTTGGGAGATTTTAGATTTTTCTGTTGGAAATTACAAATATTTAACCTTGGTAGATCTTTATCATAGAAGAAATAAACCTCCCACACTACCCAGTAGAACTACCTATGCCAACTAGATCAAATTAAGCCTATCTATACAGAAATACATAGATAAAAATCTGGACCAAGTGTCCACACCACCCTGGCAGAAACACTAAAAGTTTTCTTTCAATATTAATGTAACTCTTATTTTTATTGTCACATATTATTTGTAAAAAAGGATCTCATTGTGATGTTTCCATGTATGCATGTAATGTATTTTGATTAAATTCACTCCTTCTAGTGAATTCTTTCCTCCTATTTTTCTTTAATAATTTTAATAGGTTCTATTCCTATTTTCATACATGCAAATAACATATCTGTAATGGACTACAAGCAAGCTGAAGGCCCATGTGGGTTTATAAGCCAAGAGTCCTGTGATTTGCATATCTCTTACTCAGAAACCACAGAAAGCTCAGAATTGCTTTTAAAAGATGTTATTGTGAGAATTATTTGGTGTGAGGCATAGCTCAAACAAGACAATGGACTTTCAAGCTCCAATTATCACATTCCTCTTGCTCATTTTCACAGGTAACAAAAGAGAGGAAGCTCAAAGCTCAAAACCCAGAATTCTTTTCCCCATAGGAGTATGAATCTCAAAGAAATTGGTTTTTAACTCTTTCAGCATATTTTACAGTATTCTGAAATTCCGACATTCTTGTATTTCTACTTCTGCTAACTTCTATCTCTTTTTATCTCTCCTACTTGATCACAGTGTCCAATGGAGAAATTGTGCTCACTCAATCACCAGCATCCACGGCTGTTTTTGAAGGAGAGAGTGTCACCATCACCTGCAGTGCCAGCTCAAGTGTCAGCACCAGCTACTTGCACTGGTACCAACAGAAGCCAGGGGACTCTCCAAAGCTCCTGGTTTATAGAACATCAAACTTGGCCTCTGGAGTCCCAGCTCGCTTCAGTGGCACAGGGTCTGGGACCTCTTATTCTCTGACAATCAGCACTCTGGAGACTGATGATATTGCAACTTACTACTGTCAGCAGACTAGTAGCACTCCATCCACACAGTGTTACAGAGTGGAACAAAAACCGCCTAGAGCTTGTCAAAACACTGCTACTTCCCCCTCAAATGTTGTGACATGTTCAAAGGTGACAGTGTTCATCTGTAACTGAATACCCAACTGTTCTCCAGTGAAGCCAGTGCTGAATTCCATTCAAGCGCACTTGGATCAACTACAAAAGGAAGGGGAAATGTGTGGCTAGAGCAATGGGACTTTGTTCCCAAAGGGCTCCATTTTTGTGGATGCCAGAAGCAAAGCAGAATTTGAAGGCTGTGATGCAGACCCCTGAGTCGGGCATTGATCCAGGGGAGAAAGTCACTGCAACTTTACATAAGTGTGAAGGGGCTTGTGGGAATCTACACTTCCAGAATTGTTTCCCAGCTGTTGAGGAACAATTATGGAAAAAGAACAGCCCAGCCCCAAGACCAAGTCAACCACCAGAGAGGCTAGCCATTTCCCCAGGATGAAGAACTACATGAAAAGCATCTCTTGTCCAAGGAAATGTTTCAGTTAATACCTTATTGCATTTTTCATATAATATGTATCACTGTGGAATTAGGTTGCTTAAGACAAAATATGAGGAAGTTACAGAGGTTCCAAGTTGTGACGAAGAGTCCTTATTCTTGTTCTTTTTCAATAGGTTCTAACTATTTTTTTGAGATGTTGACACCTATCATAAACGTATGGAAAATATCTCTTGTCAAACAACAAGTACACTGAGGAAACCTCAGTCAAAATTTAGAGTACTTTTTCACTACACTAAGTGAAGAAGACAGAAAATTATTTCCTCTCCAAGGCAGGTTTACTACCTTCCTGATGACTGAGGAAACTGGCTGCAAGTGCAGCAGTAAACAACAGTTGTTTGGTCAAAATCCAGTCCTTCATGCTAAGGGGTGGTCATACTCAGAGGACTTAGGACCCACAAGGTTCTTTTTGCAAGAAGGATAGGAGTCAGAGGAGAACCCAGAAACTCTGTCAGTTGATTCTAATTGAGATACAGCAGAGAGCCATCCTCAAAGGGCTTACAGTGATTAGTAAACAGTGTCTTGGGTTTCAAAAGGTCAATTGAAATTTTCATTTTCTCATGAAAACCATTGTAGTCTACAGTTTAAAAATAAACAAATTTCTTTGTTTTACTTAGAATTGAAATACGGAGACAAGTAACGTTCTGATGTATGGTGTAGGTCGTTTGTAGTAAAAGTTGGGAAAGCAGATATGAATCAATTCAGTGACCATCTTGAAAACAAAGTCATTAGGAAAAATGATAACTGAATAGAATCCTTGATGGACCAATTAATTGTGTACATGAAAGAGGATTTTCAAGAGGAAGTTTGGTATGTCCTGAGTTATACACAATTCCCTCCAAATCTCATAAATGCACAAAATAAAAGCAGATTCTTTGTTTAAGCTTCAAATAATGAGAATCAGTGCTGGCACAGTGTCTCATGAACTAGGGAACCTGCAGAGCAAGCATGAGGCCCTGAGTTCAAATCCCAGTACCACCAAAAAGTCAAATATTGAGATGCTAACCCACCAAAGTAAACTCTACTCTCTGCTTCATTTCTTTAAAATAAGGACAAAGGCACAGAATTTCTGGCCCAATATTCTATCTTCACAACTTATTAGATGTATTTCTTAATTGCTTCATTCCCGTATCATAAGGATTTTTCAACCTGGCTCATAAAGATGACACTGGCTTTCATTGATCTTCCTCATTCTGCATAGTGATCATAGAGAATCCATCCTATAAACTTCCCCAGTTAGGTTCATGGGCTCCTATGCACTGTGCTGTTTTGTGTTTTAGGAAACCACTACCAGTGTGCATAGCTGTATCAAGTAATGTAGCTGAAGAAGAAGAATGGAAACAGAAATTCTCTGATTAACAGCCTATGGTTTTGGCTCTAACAGAATCTGCTTGGTATAAATCCTCCCCCAAGAGATTCCTCCTCTCTCTCAATTGCTATTAATGAACCCCCAAGAGAGCAGATAGATTAGCTGGAGTGTGACAGAGCTCTTGAAGCCACATAGCTGAGCTCTTGTGCATACTGCTGCTCTTCCTCTTATATGAGAAAAGAAAGGGGTGAATGATGATCAGAGTCTCTTTGTGCATCGTTCCAGTTCGGTCCCACAAGTTCTCCTCATACTAAATATTTGCCTGAGATAACCTTTTTCTAAGGAAAACTGATGCTTTACCCTAAAGTGCATCCTTTCTAAATTGTAATGTGTACGTATTCCCATGTGTTAAATGGATTCTTTACTTATATAGAATTTTCTATGTCTATTTAAATTTAAGATTTTTAATTGGACAATGCTATACCAAGTCTTCAGCCACACTACTCTCTATCCTTAGGACAGAACCCCATTACCTTAAAAACTAATCCCAGTGAGAAAAACCAGATTTTCTGGGTATCAACAGATACCAGGGCAGTTAACTAGCATCCTAGCATATGATACATCCATCCAGACTTCAGGAGTCCTATAGTGAGACTAGTTCTGTGAATCCTAACCAGAGTAACCACAACTTGCAGCAGTTCAATATTTGTTTATGTTATATTCCAGATTGCAGCAAAATGAAACCATCATTCTCACAGTCTACAAGCATTTGCTGAGACCACCATAATCACAAGTAACTGTAAAGTTACAATACATATAAACATACAAGTTTCTAAGAAGCTGGTTTTGTCTATGACTTATGTTATTTGAGCCTGTAGTAACTTGTTATTTGGACTCTGGGTAGCATTCTAAGTCCATGTTTGTATTAATTTTGCCATAGAATAGAGCCATATAAAATAGGTATGTATTTACTCATCTAGATGATCTTGTAGGACTCATTATTTGGGCTGTTGGTAACCATCCTAATAGATTAGTTGTTTATTTTACATTCCCCTGAGAAATTCACCCAACATGTCCCAACAGTGTTCAGTGTGTCATCTCAGGACAGGTTTTGCTTTCACCATCAGTAATATGAAAATAAATGATGCTGATAATTATTACTTCCTTAGTAACATCACAGTGTTATACCCCTAAACAACAACCTTCAGAACTTCAAGATAGTAGCTACCACATCCATAATGCAAGAAGCATGAGGTCTGAGATGTGATTATAACTCCTCTAAGGTGCTGTTTTTGTTCTTTCACATGAAGAAACCCTTTCCTGTGATATTAGATTTCATTTGATACCTAAAAACCACATACTACTACTACAGAGAAAAAATGGTGAAGCATAAGGAAGTTGCTGAGTGAGACTAGGTAGTCGATTAGTCATAGAGTAAGAATACATACTGAGTATGCAGTCACTTTTTTTAAAGAACCAATTTACTAAAGCCTGAGAACATAGCAAATCAACACTAAAAGATTCCTCACTCATTGCAAATTCAAGTAGTGGAAACAGAAATTCAAACCAATTTATATTTGTAAATTGAAGATAAGTTTTAAGATGATGTTCCCTTGATAGAATATGCCAAAATACATGTGCCATATAAACGTGAAAATGACAAAACATTGCTAACAGAAAGTAGAAAAGGCCTAAATCGCTGGGAATATTAGTGGCACTCACTGATTACTAGCATTTTCTGGGGTTCAAGCTGGAACAGTTGGACAGCAGTTACCACCCAAGGTGGATGATGTCAGGAAAACACTGATGTTTTAATAGTGAACTGACAAAACCTCATTTAAAAATTGAAAATTTGGGAAGAGGAGCACAGGGAAAGGACCCTCTTATTGCACAGAATGAAGCATATTCAATAGCAGAGTGGCACATGGTGGAGACAGGTGAAAGGAAGAAAGAATGAGAATTTTAGAAAGCATACACTGTAACTTCAGTTGAAAATAGGCAGAAATATACTTAAAAATAAACAGAATATTTATTGAACAGAATGGAGAAAGAGAAAGAGGTCTACTACTAGTACAGCAGAGGGTGGGAGCTGAAATAAGAGAAAGACTTGGAAAGACTTATATTTCAAATTGAGGACCCCTTATGAAGGAAAAATGATGAAGATGAGTGACTTTTGAGGAGGTTATGGCCATACAAGGTGAAAGATGGAGAATTCTACCAGGACAAGGCAGTGGAGGTGAGCAGTGGTCAAGCTTTGGATGTACTGGAAGTCCAGTATTGGTAATTCCATTTTTCTTTGTACAACATAACAAGTGCAATATGTGCAGCTTGAGGCAAATGTAAACATTTGGTTTTTCCAATGAGAATTTCCCTTCTATTTTCTTCTTGTTAAAAGAAACAAAGGAAGAAGATTTCTGAGGCATCTTTTGCTTCTTACTGTTATTGAACCTGACACCATTTTTAATTATCTTCATCATCATCTTCTGGAAAGAAGACATTCTAGAGCAACACCATTACAAATAGCTTTAAAAAAGCAGAGTCACTGCTACATCTCATAAAGCAGGAACAACATATTTTCCATTCACAGATGTATATGTAGTACTGCCCTACTTCTTTGACAAAAGAATATACACTTAAAAAGACAGTATTTGAGACTTGACTCTATTTTTAGAGCAGAGGGCCCAAAAGATTGTATGACACAGATCTGAAAAGACATGCACTTTCTTAGATGGGATTTCAATTCATTAGGGACACAGTTCTAACTATTCACTGTCTTTATGGCCATCATTTTAAAAAGTTTTAAAATAATACATGAAAAAACTTCAAAAAATCATTGGATTCAGACAAAGATGAGTGGAGGGAAGCAAACTAACTTGTATTTTACTGTCATGTTTGAATGATGAGAGTTCCATGGAAAAAAATGAGCAACCAAATACTGCTTCAAAGATTCAGACCAAAATTAAAACACAGCATCATTTCAAAGAGAAGTAGTAGCCAACAATTGTTCATTTGAATTCATTCAAGAATGCTAACATTAATATTTAATTATCTGCTGACTCTTTCAGGAAGAAGGATAGGTCAGTTATGACTACACTTTAATTGTGCTTAAAACAACCACCAGGTTACAAAACTACCAACCAATCAAAATAAAAAGTGGCACTCTTCTTTCCAGCACCACTTATCTTCTGTTTACATACAATCCCACAAATGTTAGGCCTTTTATGAGTCACCCAGTTTTAGCCCTCATTTCACATTTACTTTTGCTTTCTGTCTACCTCT